AGCATACTTTGTGTATAGATTCAATGACGGCTTTTCCTTTGATATCCAAATGGCAACAAATAATTGATTTTGAAACAATTAATCGCTTTCAGATCATGAAAAAGTCATTTCTCAAGTTTTTTTACTGTAGAAAAAAATAAAAACTAGGAGACAATGAGTTAATTGAATGACAATTCTCTGCTGCATCTTATTGGGAAAGACAAAGCATTTTCAATTATATGTCTAATATTCAGTAATTGGCTATGCACCTCATTCTGCTATCTTTGAACTCCCTTGTTGCTGGTTAGTCCATTTCAATTCATGCCCTTTCCAATATCAAGTTTAAACAAGGGCCAAATAAATATGGTCCCTTCACAAGATTCTTCTGATCCTCCAAACTTCCCCATATGATTGTCTAATAGGAAAACAGTGTATCTACTTACACCGTGCAAGGTCGCTGAATCTTTGACTCAAGATTTTGTGCAACAGCATCAATAAATTCTTCTGTGTTCAAGTAAAACTCCCTTGATACCCTGCATGCATCAGAGGTATTGAAGTAAATATATACACAAATTTAGCTTAAATTTGGTTGACTTGTGTGTTTGTATAAGCAGTATGCTGATTCTACACATCAAAATCAATGGACTGCAGTAACTGCACTTTCCTTCTATCTGCTTTTATGCCTTACCAAGTAACTTCTTTGGCAACTATGCAGCCACGCATTCTGGTTCATATTCTCTAGATGACTGAGACAATGACCTCTCCAAGATGACAAGGACTAGATCCTTTTTCAAGTTTCACAATATATTTTTTTGGTAAATCTGAGTGTGGGCTATACTACGACAATACGGTAGAACTCCCTTATATGAGACCCCCAATGTGGAAGCCTCATGCTTTAGCTGTGGGCTATACCAATATAACATAGAGGCCAAGTTTCATACCATGCTTTCTAATATGTTTAAAGTCCCTAATATCCAAAACTACCAAATTTTATAGAATTCATTGTCTAGCATTGAATTTATTTAAATTTGGATGGTTCTGCAGTACAAAGCATCAGCTATATTCAACCAATTGATCATTCTCTAACCCTCTATGGTCAAACCTCATAAAGGTGAAGACAGGAAATAAGAAATTAACCAAAAAAAAAAAAATAGAGATAATAAAGAGCAATTGTATTATATCAGGGCATGTGAAAATTACTTGGGTCCATGCACTAAAAGGGCAAGATCCTTGGTCATCTTTCCTGCCTCCACTACCTCAATACAAGCGGCCTCCAACTTATGAACAAAGTCCAACAACCTTGCATTGTTATCTAGTTTGGCCCTGCATGAAGAGTTGGTGAGAGTTATAATCAATCCAGCCGTCATGGTAAAATGATTCATAACACAAAATATTAAACGTTAAACATGAAAAAAGAAGATGGTACTGTAGCTTGACACTGTTCAATCAATAGCCAGCCAATGCATAAAATGGTTTGATATTGTAGTGTTGTCTCCAAGATTTTTCAAGGAAGTTAAGAGGAAAAGAAGATGATCATATCATAATCTAGGACAGTCTATAACAAACATGCAAATAATTTTATAGAATAAATATTTTTGAGAAATGCCATTATGCCAAAAGGAAGAGCTTGATCTGCTTTGATTATAGCAGCAGAAAATACCTATGCTCCAGTCCTCGAGTCCATGCAAATATGGAAGCAATACTGTTTGTACTGGTTTCTTGTCCCTTTTGGTATAGCCTGAAATGCCGAGTTACAGTCCCATGAGCAGCTTCAGCCTCTAATGTCTTTCCATCAGAAGACAGCTGCAGGATTTTAAGATAAAATTACAATTTTGCAGCATCCAAGAACACAGAACCTAAAGCAAAGGGTGGTTAAACAATATATATATATATATATATATATATTTGATACAAACCAAGACTGAAGTCATTAGACCCAAAGAACCAAATCCTGCACGAATGAAATTAAACAGACTTTTAGACTCCATTTAAAAGCATGAAGATATGCCCCTGATTTGAGCATTGAATGTGAATGCTCAAGATCATTTCTCTAACAAATATACATCCATCAATAGCTAGCATTCAAAGACTCATGTAAATGACTCATTCATGAACAAGAGAAATAAAATATATGAAACTGAATGTATGGGCCTTTATTTAGGCAAAAACAGAGAAACAGTGTACCGACACAAAAATTCAGAATCAAAACTTATCAGCACCTTGAGCAAGTAGGTCACTCTGAACGTCTCCATCATAATTTTTGCAGGCCCAAACATATCCACCTTCGCTTTTTACTGCATAAGCTACCATGTCATCAATAAGTCGATGTTCATACCTAAACCACAAATCAATCAAATGATTAGAAGTATTTTAAGCATAGAAAAGGCATGTTTTATCTAGATGAAAAAATACCATATTGAATGTTCTTCAAACTTCTGCTTCCACTTTTGTTCATATACCTCCTGGAATATGTCCTTAAACCTGTGATAATCATAGTCCCACTAAATGTGAGCATTTTACACATCTTTTCAAAAATAAAAAACTAAGCTAAACCTCAAAAAGGGAAAAATTGACTGAAATGTGGAGGCATCCAAGGAATAAAGAAAATCAGAAAGAGAAGAAAACAGTACCTGCCATCATACTTCTTCAGAATAGTGTTTTTTGTACTCAAGTAAAGAGGCCACTTCTTCTCATATGCCAACGACATGGAAGACTCAGCAAAGGCACGAATAGACTGAAAAAATTAAACAGTGGTTTTCAAACTTAATAAAAACATAACGCAGGGCACATACAGTAGAGATAAAAGAAAATGTGTAGAAAGAAAATTGGCAAACCTCATCAACATTATACATTGCAAGTGCAACACCAGGACCTCTAAAATTGTAGACATCTAACTCCATTGGGGTGCCTCCACCTTCTGGGACTGAGAAAGAGAAACAGAAACAGATAATCTGTAGCATGCTGTTTATCATTTTAAAGAATAAAATAACATGGGCAATATTGCCAAATCATCAGCTTACCAAAAACCATCTTAAGCTTTCCTGGTCCATTAATGACTGTATCAGTTGCACGATACTGATCACCAAAAGCATGCCTACCAATGCATATAGGTTTTTTCCAACCTGTCATTTGGAGAGTAAGTGCATAGTACCGTCTTGGAATATTTTCATAAGGCTGTCCTATAAAATTTCAGCTATTTGCATAGCAGGAAAGTTAATATTACCAGGAACAATTCTTGGTATATTCTTGCACAGGATAGGTTCACGGAATACAGTACCTACAAAAGGAATGTACCAGTGAAATCTGCTATATACAAAAGAGAAAGAGCTACAACATTAGATTTTTCCCTCTATTGCTAAAGCATTTTATCAATATATAGAAGTGATGAGAACTTGTTCAACAACAACAAGGTAACAGAAACACCAATGACAGCCTATGCAAGACCAACTTTCAATTTTCAGGAAACATTATTCAGAATGAAAACAAAAAATCACAGCAATCCCTTAACAACAAACATATGAAATTCTGTTATGAAAAATGAGAAGTATTAGAAGATTATTATGGAATAGAAACCATTCAAGATGTTTCTAATTGTGCCATTGGGGCTCCTCCACATAGATTTTAGTCCAAATTCCTTCACTCTTGTCTCATCTGCAATCAATGACATCAAAAGAAACAAAATAAATCTTATATAAGCTTCTACTTGGCAATGCAATATGCAAAGAAAATTTTCCATAGTCAGCAAACTGAGCCCCATGTCCGCATATTATGCTACAGGTGCCCAATACACATAACTATAGTCTATTGGGGCTTGAAGAAGTGTTAGAACGACTAACCAGGAGTTATTGTAGCACATTTGACTGCAACATTGTACCTGCAGCCAATAGAAATATTTTTAACATCACAGGCTTTAATCTAAAGAGTAAAGAGATTGACAAACAAAATTCATTATATTGCAAGCCTTTCTTTTTTCTCCTCCCCAGGCCTTATTCCACGAATGACAAAAATACCTCTTTAAGTGGCAGAATTGCATCCAAGTAAAGTAACCCTGCTTCTAGTGTAATCTAAGATCATATGCATGATACTTTGCAACAAAGTAGTAAAAGGTACGGCAAAGAATCAAAGATGCATCATCTCAAACATGGAAGAACTGTGCAATATAATAAATTTGTGTCTGGAATACTTACTTAAGAGTAGCTTCAGCACTTTCTATGGTGACCTTGTCATCTGTCGCATCGCGGTTCAATATCCCTAAATCAAAGTACTTTATGTCCAAGTCTAGATAAGGAAATATAAGCTGCAATCAAAGAAACAAGTTCTCACACTCCACTTAGTGGCATACTTACTTTAACAGGATAATTATGGGAATCAAAAACGCATAATAAACTAAAAACACATCAAAATAGAAGCATACATACCTTTTCTTTTATCATCCTCCAAATGATTCTTGTCATCTCATCACCTAAATGTCCACGAATAGAAAAGAACAACTCAATGAGAATCTCTAAATATATAACAATGTCGTTGATATCATATTATGGCAGTTTCGAAGTTGAATTAAATAATTTGAACCTCAGGAATCCTTAAAATTCACCAAATAAACTGAATTAATTGATTAAATGATCAGAAACAACTCACTTTAAAAAAGAATAAAAATTCCATGTCCTCATTTTCTTCATTTCTCATCATCAATCAAATAGAAAAATAAAATAAAATACAATAAAATAAGCTTTCTTATATCCTTAAAATTTTCAGGGCCAAACAGAACATCAGCAAATTCGTTAGGGTTTTAGCGAGGTTTACCGTCCATTTCGACGACCGGATTCTGAACCAGAACTCTGTCGAATCCGCTAGAAGATGCGAAGCAGCGAAGCGAAGGTGAGCGCATGAGGCGGGCGGGGAAAGCGACGCGACTGCGAAGGCCTCCATTGTTGAAGAGTATAGAATTGGTTCTGATGGCGAAGAGAGATGAGGATTGCGATGATGTTGAGAAGGTGGCAACGGCGGACGACATGGTGGCGCCCAGTCGCAGTCCAAGTCGCAGCATTCGTTCTGCTATGCGTTTTAAAGGTGATTTCCTCTAGGGTGATTTTGCCGAATTTTATGCCTCCTTTTTCGCCACGTTCGGAAAGGAAAATAACATAGAGGGACAGTAATACGGTGCGTTTCGCTCGCACGAATTTCCCCTTTTTTTTTTTTCCATCAGCAAATTAAAAGTAATTTATTACTATAGGTAGTTTCGCACGCACGGTTAATCACGAGGTTCTGACCTCAGAGTAGGGATGGCAGTTCTCCCCGCTCCCCGTGGGGCTCCGCGGGGATCCCCGTCACGGGGACGGGGCGAGGAGGAATATTCCTCCTCGTAGGGCGGGGATGGGG